ATAAACCCTCCTCCGGGTGGATTCCAATGTTATGCCTTTCTTATTGTCTTCTTCCTTGGGGATTTCAACAGGGCGTAAGTTGACGGTGACACACGTCAGATGTCACCGTTATAACAATTAATGTTTGTGATATTCGACCTTTTCAAGGATGATTTATATGGATGATTGTGCAGCACACGCGAATAGGAACGCCCCGTCAACTTAAAATTGGTGAGGTTGCGATTTATTTCAAGAAGGGTAAAACTGCCCATGTCCTAACTCTATCACCAGGAAGAACAGAAAATTAAGTGTAACCATGATCATAACCCTAGCTCTACCCTAAACCTAAACCTTAGAATTACCCTGAACCCAGGCCTTGACTTTTAGCAGCATCCTGGCACTCACTCCAACCCCGACCTTAGACCCCACCTTAAGCCTACACCAATATTTAATTGTAACCCTCATCTTAATCCTAAACTAAATTTCCTTGGAGTTTCGCGCAAAAATACATGCATTGTGTGCGGTTCTATTCCCGTTTCCTGTCTAGGCGGCCATGCACTGAATCATACTTTGAAATAATCACTGCTCAATTTTACGTACCCTATCGTATGTTCTTCGCTAGAGGGGAAAAGGGCTACCATGCACGTAAACAGCATTTGAGGGCAACAGTGAGAGCTGTCAGAGGTACTTAAACGAACCTTTTGCATAAGTGCACTTAGTTCATGCCTAAACAGGACAGTCTTCATGTCATTTTAATCACAAATCTACTAATTAAGTTGGTCTAGTGCGTTTTGCTCTGCATCATATTACATTCGTTCGCGTGTGCGACAGCCACTCTGACAAAACAAACTGCTGCGTTTGCAGTACTCGTATTAAATGCTGTCGGTCCAAAAGACCGGTCAATATTTCTTTATATAAGCTGCCTTAAATCCCGTCTATCCGCGTCGGAAAATCCCACCCTGTCGAGAACTCATTGCTCTTCTCTAAACCTCCCGAAATCCTCCGAAATCTCTAAAAACGGAATCGATTTTTGTATCGTCCTCCCTCCCTCCCTCA